AACGGATCTCAGACAAGCATTAGAAATAAATATAACGCGAGATACAAGGGGCCGTGTGTGACTACTGGCATGGCATAATTTGCCGGAATCTTTCGCCCGTGTGAAGAAATGGGGCAAATACGTTAAGGGGTTATGGTGTGTCTAATTTTAACATTATAGTAGAGCTCAAGTAATAATATAAATGATACCCAAAATTACGATGCTAGGAAGCAAAACTTTGTTTTTGATTTTTTGTTATAAAATTAAGATAGCGATGCAAAACCTCCGTCAGGTACGGTGACTGCCTTCGAATTCTCTTCCATCCCGCATGAGCATCTTAAACAAAGGTGCGCCGTCACGAAAAGGTTAATGTAGCAGTTGCAGCGTTGGCTGACGAGTGATCACCGATCTAGTTTTTCGACTGCCAGAAATTCACCGTAGAAAATAACCTTTGTTGTTGCCTGGAACCAAAGTTCATTTGGTATAAAAATGTTTGTATTACCTTGTACTTGGTGCGATAGCGTCTGTTTGGAACCTATATTTTTCTGTTGTCTTGCAAGAGATTGTCTTTAGTTTCTGGGAGCATTCACATCTGTTTTTGATAGCTAGAGTTTGTTTGCTTGCTTCATCAGCTCCACAACTTGCTGCTCAAAGAGAGAGGAGTGCTTATGCAACACTATTTAGGTTAGAAAGCATTCGGACGATCCTTGTTTAATTCTGTCGCATAGCCGTGAGTGTTGGGATATATTTAATAAGACAAAGTATAAGCAAACTTTGTGTATTTTGCGAAAGGCGTGATATCTATAGAGATTTCAGCAGGGGTTCTAAAGCCATCTGTCCCAGAGGTTTCACCTACGTGACCGTTAACTATGCAAAGGGTGTTGCTCCTCAAGTTCTCGGTCCTTGACGCTAATGTGTGCGATTTTCGACGTCCTTTTTGTGTTGTTTAACTTTTTTTTCTTTTTTCTTTTTTTATCGACTCTCAGAGTGCAGTTCAATTAAACATGCTTTTGGGGTATTGTATTCGCAGTCAATGGGAGTTGTAAAATATCAAAAATGCTGTTGAGGATATCTGATTCAATTGTGGACAGCAAATTTATGGTTACTCTGTGGAATCAACAGTAAATCTGAGTCACATGGGGTTCTATTGGTGTTGAACATAAATGTGTAGATTTCCTTCCGCCAAAGTGGGAAGTAGGTTGACAGAGAAAAATACGGGAGACATTATGGTTGCCTACAAAGGGTTGTAGTTGTTCGTTCATGATTTAAAAAAAAATGTCAAATATGAGTAAATATACAATAATGAATTACTAAAAATTCAGGGTTAACTTAACACGACGGCAAGTAAAATAAATACAGTAAATGCAAACATTTGAGAAATTAAGAATATAATATGAATAAGGTGTAGACATAATGTACAACAGGTGTAAAATAAATGTTTAAAATTCACTTTAGTAATTTCAACAAGTACAGGAAAAAAACTTGAAGTAGGCATTTCTAGTTATGAGAAAAGCTTGCTTGTTAGGTTCGGTGAAAACTAAATTGGTGTGGCTTACCTCTGGATGATATGAGAAATGGGGCTCTAGTCTAACAGTGATGGATTCGGAGGTTAATAATGATTTGAACAAAACAACGTGTGTTGAGAAAGATTGTCAAAAAAAGTGGAAAATGTCTGATATAGTCATGTCACAGATTTTATATACAGATCTACAATATATTCACTCTGAAGATAGCAAACACATTTTTTTCCATTGCATAGAGCGTGTTTTTCATATAATTCATAGGCAAATTTTGAAGAATACTCAAAGATTTGGCTCACAGTGTCAACTATATCATGAAAATAATGTTGGATTCAGAAGTTGGCCCTGTTTAAGAGATGATATTGCCAGTGATCACCATATAGGGCCCAGAAATGAAAGTGATTAGATTTTCAGGGCCGTAGTTCGAATGATTGAATGGTCACACATTGTTGGTGACATGTGAATGGTATAATGGCAATATGCTTGGTTGTATGTAATTTAATTAAGGTTAGGAAATGTATTCGTTTACACTCACATCACAAATAATAAAATAAACATCAGGTACAAGTCATTCGACCCAAGAATAATTACTTGTAGTAATCCACATTTGCAGTAAGCATACTAGTTTCAGGAAAGTCTTCCAATATCACATGATCGGAAGGCGGGGAAGTCGTGGCATTGACTTGATGGCTGTACAGCAACGAGATATGTCAAGCATGTCAGATTCTCCATACGCCTATCGGATAGGGATTAGAGGCTGGTTGGGTGCAAATCTTTTGAGTGGCATTTATTTTGTAGAGGTCTTAACAATGCTCGCATGGTTATTGGTTCTATAATTTGCTGTGGTCATGAGATCAGCATCTAAAGACATGTTCGCCAAATTTTGTGTTACTTCTGTCACTAGCTGCAGAATTTAATCCTGAGTTATATAGTTTCGTCATTTTTTTATCATTCTGTTGTGTGTTTCCAAGCCGTATTTAATATTTATCTGAGTCCCAAATAAATAAATTTCTATATATGCTTAAGGCTTATACGGAAATTTATTTATTTTTATGGCATATCTGAATAATAGATTAATTGTTCTTAATTCAAAATGTAATCTCTTGGACTGTTTGGTCTGTTTGCCATTTAAAAAATATATGTGTTTGAAATAATATGGTGTCAGAAATTTATTAAGTTCTCTTTATCGCATTTTTGGAGCACAGTTGGCGGTGAAGTCTTGTTGCCAACTTAATATAAATTAAGTAATAAAAGATTTCCCATTGTTTGGTTATTCAATTATCTTAATATTTTAAAAAAACAAAGTGTTTTTTTTAATATTTCTGCATTAAGCATTTTTCACGTGTTATAGTTTGATTAGTTCAACCCCCTGACATGGTGATGATAATAAAAAATGATGACCAGGGGTGTTAATGTAGGGTATATAGATAATCTTATTTAGTGATGTGTGTTCTTCCACATGGAGTGTTAGTAATGAATTGGAATTAAGGTCAGGACTTTCATCAACTTTATCATTTAAAAATGTTTACAGCGCATGCATGAAATCTTAGACATATACTAAAGTGAGATAGTACTACTTTTGGAAAATTCTTTCTGCATGTTTGAAGGAAAAAAAAAAAAAAAAAAACTTTAAAAAAATATTATTTGCATGTGTGTCCAACATATTAGAATTTATCTGGATGTTGGATATCCAGATCTCAAATTTATACTGTATAATTTTAATGAGATCATGTTGTGTGAAGAAAACTTAAATATAAGGCAATATATGAATGGTAATTATGAACAACAAATAACTTCTGAATTAATTAATCAAAGTGGTTTGGAACATTGACTTAAGTTTTGCACTCTTTAAGAATTTATTTATGCCAAAATTAGTTTCATTTTTGTAACAAATTGGACTAATAGGTTTTTTTCATATAATCAAAAACAAAATACTGCTGCTTTCACCAGTGAATAAAACTCAGAAATTGAAAACATGAATAGCATTCATCCTGATTTGAATCTGAAATTTTCAGTTGTTATGAAAAGTGATGTCTCTTTCTAATTCTGAATTTAATCTCTAGTGTGATTACGTAGATACAGATTTAGCTGCAGAAGTTTAATTTTTTGTTTTAAAATTTTATTAAAACATTTGAGGAAAAATTCTATTATAGTCATGTAAAACAAGAAAAGGACTTATAAGGCCAAATTTGTTCCTGAAAATCTGTAGATATACTTTAAAATATAAATGCAATTGTGCCTCTGTATCCATGGGTACTGTGTTCCAAGGACACCATGGACAATACCAAGCACTTTGTATCAGATGACCTTTAAATAATACAGATAAATATGGTTAAGTTTAAATGATAAATTAGAAAAAACATTTCTAAGTAATAATAAAGTCTACTTTTCACTGCATTATTCATTTACTATGTTTCATACCTAAGAAATGGTAACGGAATGATTTGATTCTTTTAAAGCATTGCATAATCAACGAAATATACCATAAGAAAAATTTTTATAGAGACTTAACCGAGCTCTGTTCTGCTGTTGAACTTTATAAGTAATCCTCTGCAAAATGATTTTATTATTGTGACCCAAAGATAATTTTTATTATGAATATTTAAGAAATTTATTTTAAAGCTTATTAAAGAACAGATTTTGTATAAAAAATTGTGACAAAATCATACACAAGGTGTATTTAAACATTTAGAATGATTGAATTTCAGATGGTGGTTTATTTCAATGTTTTTAAAATGACTAATGAAGCATTTTTTAAAATTGTATCTGATAGCCCTTTTTTCTGAATTATTAGTCTGTGTATCATGATGTGTTCTATGTATAGCCAGTATTTAATTAAAATTTCAAAGGTCGGTATGGTTTCCATTCCTCTTCCACTGCTTGCTTCAGTAGTCCATTAGAAACTTTTTTTAATTTATAAAAATTTTGAAAAATACAAATTTGTAAAATAAATCATAAAATGTAGGGTGAATTTATTTGATATGTGAACTTGAATTTCAAAATGTGAAAGGAAGAATCAAATATATTTGATAAAAAAGAGAGATTAATAAATATACACAAAACATCAAAGTAACATTTTAGGAACTAATTTTTTTTAAAAAACTACTAGTGTGGTTTTTTGCATAAACATGTAAGTGGGTGTAGAAATTGAATATGGAAATTTGTCATTTTTCTTAAAAGCAGGGATAGTGTATTTGTATTTAAAAGTTCTATCAGTGTTATGTACACATTATATGTAATGCTATATGCAAGTGTTGTGAAAAATGTGAGTATGGAATTTTATGGATATCTGCATATTATATGTACAGTTAAAATTGTCAAAGGTAAACAATATTGAGCTTCTTTGCATTGCTGAAATTCTTAGTATTCTGATTTTACAACTACTTATCTTTATAATATTCTGTGATTAGGGGATTAATGTATATGAAGGCAGATTCTCGAACTTAACCTGTGCATTTCTATTTTTAATAAAATTATTTTAATGTATTTTTCTTAATGTAGGTAAAATCTGCAGTGACTAATAATGAATTATTAGCTTCTCAACTGCTATTATTAGCTGGGCAAAGAATACATAACATAGTTTTCAATTGTGCTGAACCAGCAACTAGGCTTGGTTGTCTCACTCCAGATGTGTCCACTTTTCTAAAGAAACTGGTAATTATTTTAATATCTGTTAATGGTGCTATAATTCTGTAGTTTCACTGGATCTGTAAGCTTATCCGATTTGTTTACCTGATTTTTATGCCTAATGTTTTGAATGGTTATGTTTTCACTTCTCCTCTATTTCGGTGCTCAGTTCAGTAATTTAGATACCATAAGAAGCCACATTGAAAATTGTATGTATGAGAAATTTTCCAAAAAATTTTTAACTGTATCTAAGAAAAGTTGTCAATCTTTTACAAGTGAAGGACAAAAACGATGACAGAATCTTGATCATGTCACACTCAATCATAGAGCAGCAGTTCCAACTTTCTATGCACATATACATTAATAGGTTTTTTTACAAAGACCCTTACTTACTCTTTCCTGAAATATAAAACCCCTCCCACTACCATATCGTATTCTGGGCAGTATCCTACTGACTTACCTATAGTCATACAATCTTTTTTTTTTTGTGTTTGTTTTTTTAAATATATTGTTTTCAGGCTACAACAAACTGTTTCTTCTGTTCATACTCACATTATGTGTGTGAATGTACGCTAAAGCCATAAAAAAAATAAAACGTGCATACATACAAGCAAAAAACATGCAAGCATACATACATACATAAAAACAAACATTAATGCGAAACAAATGTATAAGCATATATAAAAATTATACAAATATTACAAACAAATGTACAAACATATCATACATACAAATATATTGTAATTATTTCTAATATTATTTTTTTTAACTAAAAATGAATGAATTGGTAAATTTATTGTCTATGGACTAGGCCCAAGCAAAAAATCTAGAAGCATTCTGAAAAGAACATTATTGCAATAAAATATTAGATCTATAATTTTTTAGTAGGAATTATTAATAATTTTATACATACCTAAATTAATAAAAAGTACTTAAGACTGGTTTGCCAAAAGGTTCAATCATGATGCTTTTGTCATTAAACATTAATAATGTACAAAAAAAAAAAAAAAAAAAATTCTCGACAAATCATTAGCCTTGTCTTGATTCTTCAAAATTTTAAACCGTGTTATTTGAGAAGACGAAGGGACATATTGGGGGGTTTGTGTAATGTTTCGAATTTGTTCTCAAAATATGCTGTAAGCATCATTAAATTTTCATCGTATGTAATGATTTTTACGACTTTTAGGGATACAGTAACTTATTCTGTAACATATTTTAGTCACATTTTAGTCTTCTTCGCTAGGTGTTAATAGGTAAGATTTCACACAAGGACCTTCAGGCTGTTGCTGAGAAATGTATTACAATTTTTGTTTGCATTGGGGTAGTCAGTGTGTGAATGATGCATCATAATAAGAGTTAATGTCTTCTCTTGATAAAAACTTACTGGAAGTAAGACAACTTGATAACTGAATAGAAAGAACAAACTGTTCATTGACTGATTCAGTCAATGTAAAAGTATTATTTTCTGCTCATCATTTTAATTATTGACTGTGCATCATCAATTTGACAAAGCAGGAAAGTGAGTGTCTGCAAGGAATTGAGTAATATAAATGGTTGGGTGTTGACAAAGCAGGAAAGTGAGTGTCTGCAAGGAATTGAGTAATATAAATGGTATGGGTGTAATTAATTACACTAATTACATTGCTTTCATACATGTTCTGATCATTGATGGTCACATAGAAATTCCTTGCAATTACTTTCCCTTTTATTCAATCAAAGAGCTGACCAGCAGCTGAGTGGTAAAGTCACTGACCACTGGTAGTTTGCTTTGAGATTCAAATAAGGGTAAACAAATCTTCGGCAATTGCTGCTGAGACTATAAATTTAATTATTAATTTTATTTTCCATTATCCCTTTGGAAATGAAGAGCAAATTAATTTCTTGTGATATGTTTTAATCAGTGCTTTGAGTTTTTTAATACAAATTCTATTACAATTTTAAACTTCTTATAAGTTTTTCCCCCAGAATTTTATCTCAATCTTCTAAAGAATTCATTTCTGCATGCTTCATTATGCAATAGTTTTGCTCTTAATTTCCTAGGGGATAATCAAAATAAAAATCACATATATAATAAATAACAATAATAAAAAACAAGAAGCACAGTGGTAAATAGTGAAGAAAATGTTACCACCAAAATTGAAAAAGAAAAAAGTCATTTCATCTTTCACTGTATCTTCATCAGAACGTTGGTGCAACAAAAAAATATCAGCCTGTTTCTGATCTAAAAGTGGCACAAATTAGAAATAGAGTTTAATACTTAAAATAATTTCAGAAAATTAAAGTAATTTGTGTCTTTATTAGTCCAACCCCTATAAGCCAGAGTAAGTGGGGCAAAAATTGCAACCATAAATAAGCTTTAAAAAAACTTTTTAAAAAAATTTTCTGAGTAAATTGAATCTAAAAAATAAAACATGTAAACACAAGTAATCACAACGTGAAAATTTTTTAGCCAAAAACATAGAATAAAAAATGAAAAGATAAAAAGATGAGTTTGTTCTTAAATCTCTAATATTAGAGCAACAGTTGTTTTGAAATGATAACAAACGAAAAAAATATTTGGTATGTCAGTAGGATAAAATTTATGTTAAGCCTAACATGTGCTAGGTATTGAAATTAAGCTGATAACAAATTTTAAACTGATTGTTAATGATGTAAAAATAATTATAAAGACTTCTAATGTGATATAAATGTGCTGCAGTAAAAAATAAATTATATATAAAAGAAAAAAAGGTGTATGCCTTTTGTGCATCTTCATAGCAATTAATTTTTATGAAATAAGTATGTGCAGAAGCGGAGACCAAGGCAATTGCCATAACAGAAGTGAGATAGAGTATGAGCTGTCCAAGATGAAAGTTTGGTTAAAAACTGCTTTTTTACTTCATTTTAATTGGTTGCTGAAGTATTATGTATGCCATGCATCCTAGTCATTATCAAGAATTTCGTTTGAACAGCAATTTAATTTTGAATGATGCACTTAGAGAGCTTATTTATTATAAACAGTTACTAATTTTAGGACAGAAAGGGGGAATAACAAAATTAAAATTGAGAGTAAAGAGGCAACTGCAATTTAAAATAAGAATTTTGATTTATATATTTTTTATTATTTATCCCACCCCCTTTTCAAAGAGCATGACTTAGCAACAGAAAAAGAATTAACCCTTTCATAAGGGGTGCCTTAGTCACCAAACCTCTCTCTTGGGATTGCGCACTTATAGGATGCACTGTCTTTTGGGGCCTGGTAATTTGTATTGCTACGCCTAGCTTTGGAAAAGATATTTGCATAAATTAAAGTTGTGGTCCAGTGGTTCCAATTTTTGACATATTATGAGAAGAACACGTAAGAAATTGTCAGAATTTAATTTGAAAATGTTATCATTATACCCGTATTTTCTTTTCCATTTGATGTATAAAAATGTTTTGCTAAATGAGTACACAAAATATTCTCCTCAACATTAACCAACCTCTAAGAAGACTAAATAAAATACCTAAAACAATAGACTGTATCTCCATATTGCCAAAAATGAAAGCAAAATTGTTCAGAAGTATCACGAACATCCTGCTATGTTTATATCAACTTACTCAGGTAATAGGCAGCTGTGTTTATTTTCATTTCTCAAGCCACAATTTCTACTTTGATTCCGAAACAAAATACCAAAAATAAAAGATACTGCAATGGAATGAAGGCTAACATTAATCAGTCTCCACAAATTCTCTTTATAACAGACATAGGGCTGCATCTAGTGGCAAAAAAAAAAGATACTACTGAAACATTCTATCTAAAAATTCGTATGTGGTGCACCTACCCTAACACACTATGTAAATGGTGATTAATATATGACACACCAATCTTCAAACTGTTAAAGCAGTAAAAAATAAGGAAAAATATAGTATGAAATATATAAATTCGAGCTAATATATTAAATTAACAGTAAATAAAAAATAATCTTATGCAGACTAAAATCAAATTAAAACATAATCACTATAAAATCAGCAAATTAATTATTACAGTTAATACAAGTTTGATATAAATTCAAATTCTTTTTTTTTATGAAATATTCTTTTTTTATACATTAATTCTTTTAGTATGAATAATAATTGCAATAAATTCCTTATAGAAATTGCATTATAATACTCGCTATAATTTTAAAAGTATCACAATTAGAATTTTAATAACAAAAAACAACTTTCAAAAATTCGTTTTAAATATTTTTATTTTTTGACTTATTTACACCATAAAAAGCATACAAAATAGCCAAGAGAAAACTGCTTGTTTGAAATTTTTTCATTAGTTCAGATTAAAATATTAGTTTCTATAAGAAGTAGTTACAATTTTCCTTACAGCATAGGAAAAGCTAAAAATATCCACCCTGAAAGCACGAATAGGCTTTTAATAATTATTTGGAAGCTCATATGCTAATTTAAAATCAATCTCATGTTTCATCAAAAATAAAAATATGAGACTCTAATTTGTGAAATGAGGTGCTCAACCACTTTTTCTTGACAATTACACACGCTGCAATAGGCAAACACTGGTTAAAATTTCTGCAGTCGTCCCTACTCCTCCGGATGGTCAAGGTGACAGCCGGATTGCTCAGACGGGAAGAAAACCCATTTGTGTTAGTCTATTTCCTATAAAGTCCATGATATGATCGTATGTTGAAAACGCAATAAATTTGCACACTACAAATTTATATAATGATAATGCCGTGTCTCATTTCCACTACATTTTGAAGCATAGGCAAAAACATGTGTCTTTAAACAACTTTCTTACTAAAAAGGATGTGTCATAAATAATAAGCTGTGTTATTATAAATTTGATTGATTATATTTTTTGGAATGGAACATATTATCCTATTGTATGCCCTGCTCAAAAAAAAAAAATGGGACGGTCTATATCTCCCGATCTACTGGGAGCCATTGACCAAAATTCAAATTGGCGTTCTTCATGTCCGCGAAAGCGCGCTAGGATATAATTAGATTTATATATAGCACTATTCTAACATAGGTATTTTTGACACAAATCGGAC